AGTTGGTGAATGTATTTATCTTACTGTAAATAACAAGTGAAAACATTTTCAGCCTTATCAGTTGGACATTGCGGTTTTTATACTGCTTTTTTTTAATTCACTAACGCTCTAAAAATGAATATTTCAGCCGCAGTAAAGAATCAACGTTGGCGGATTTTGATTCTTGACATCCTTTACGATCGGTTACGATGCCTAGAGTACGGAGACCGTGGGACTTCGGGAAGCTGGACTTTCTTTTCGGGCAATTGCAGTTAGAGTGCAAAGAATTGTAGACACTGTGGTTAGGTGTTGTCAGGCATAGCTTCGAGAACGCCGTACGCAAAGAGCAAGGAGCACTGGACGCCGCCGTAGAACAACAGACCGTGAAGATCACCGCCTAAGATTATTGGCCTTAAGTTACCGTTTCTCCACTACCAGGTCCATTGCAAATGAATGGTTTACAGAACACGGAAGACCTATTGGCATGCGAAGTGTTTACCGACGAATGAGAAGCTTGTTTTCATACCGGCCACACTGGGTCCTCCCTTTAACTCGAGAACACCGACGTAATCGCCTTGAGTGGTGCAGACAACGGTCACTCTGGGATCAGGAATGGAACAGTATTGTCTTTAGTGACGAGTCTTGATTTTGTTTAGGCATGCACGATGGTCGTGCCAGGGTTAGAAGGCGACGTGGTGAAAGGAGGAATCCACAGTTTCTTGTTGAAAGACATGTTCATCACACTGTAGGAGTTATGGTTTGGGGTGCTATAGCTTATGGTTCCAGGTCACCTTTAATCTTCATCAGAGGTAACATGAACGCGCAGCGTTATAACCACGAAGTTCTAGAACCCCATCTTTTACCCCATCTTGACACCCTGGCAGATCCAACTTTCCAACAAGATAATGCCCGACCACATGTTGCAAGAGTCACAATAGACTTCTTTCAACATAATGATGTCACATTGTTACCATGGCCACCAAGATCTCCCGACTTATCCCCAATTGAGCACGTGTGGGATATGATGGGTAGGAGATTGCTCAATTTGCAACGTCCTCCTCAGACTCTAGAAGCACTTCGAGAGGAGTTGGTGGTTGCCTGGAATGAGATACCACAGGAGGACATTGACCACCTGATCAGAAGCATGCCTAGGCGCGTTGGAGAATGCGTAGCACATCAGGGTGCATCCACATATTATTAAAGGTCAAAGGGCTTTAAAGCATTTTGAAATTTTTATCATTTACTTATTATGATTCATTAAGTACTTATACAAAATTTTATTAAAATATTAAACCATTTAAACTGGGTGTTCGGATTTATATGTCACTTAGTATAACTTGTAGTAGTAGTAGTAGTAGAAAGATTTATTTAGCACATTTGGCTACATAAACAGAATAATTGTAAACAACTTAGAACTAGTAAATTCAAGCCATATGGTGTATGATGTAAATGCTGGGCAACCTATAATTGTAGATTTAACAAGTGATTTCTCAATTTTACTTTAAATTTTGTCAATGTTTTCTGGTCTTTTATCTCCGAGTATAATTTATTATATTCAATCAACCCTTGATGGAATACAGATTTGTAGCATATGTTATACTTTTTAGTCATTAAATGGAAGTCATCTTTATTTCTGGTATTATGTAAATGATGGTCGACATTTGATGATGTTAAATTAGTTAGACTTGATGGAAATATATTATTTTTTACTTTATAAATGAATATCATTTCAAGATATTTTATAAATTTTTTTACATTGAACCATTTTGCCTAATTGGAGTATATTTATCTTTATTTAGTATTATATATGTATACCAAAGATAGAAATAGAATGGCAGTAGAACTATTAATAATTGAACTTTAATGAAAAAGGGCAACAAATTAGTGGAAAGGGCAAACTCGAATGCAAAATACCTGTGGCAAAGTAGAAAATAAGTATGCTTTAGTTGTCTTATATTTTGATCGCATGTTTCATCTGTAATCTCATAACTTGCCAAAAAAGTATATAATAATTAAAAATAACTTTTTGAGTCTTTAATATTTATTTGTCCCGATATAATTCCAAAATCCCGACTTCTCGAAATTTTGCACAAATATTTCAGTCATCCCATCTCGTAAGCCTAGCATCACGTCTGAGCTACTATATGTAGCAACGCAAAAATGTTACTAATCTATACTTGAGGAAGGTTGAATACTCGGACAACCCAAAAACCAAATTTTTTTTGGAAAGATAGGTTCTAGGAAAAGTCTTAGGATATCTGAAAATCAATTTGTGGATGACCTGAATATGACCTAGGCAATGACCTCATGGGTCATTAGGAGATTTGAGATAACCGACAAATCACTTTTCAGTAGTACTGTACTTTTCTTAATGCCTTTTTTTCTGGATAAATGCGTGGTTGCCAAATTTTTCGATTGAACCTCTTATCTTGGCTTGACCTCATGTATGAAAAGGCACTTCTGCAACTTTTATAGAACCTGCTTCCTAAAAAGAAAACGCGTAGTCATCAAGTTTTCGGGAAGTTTGGGTATTTAATATACAGGGTGGCGCATCGAAAACGAAACAGAAGCATTTACTGGCAGCTCAGTTTTTTTTTGAAAAACGCTAGGCCCGTCGATTTTGTTTTCGAGGGGAACACAAGTTTGGCAAAAAATCACGTTAACACGTGCAGCCCCCTGGGCGGGGGTGACACCAACCCTAAAATCTTAAATGGAAAGGGGGATCGAGTAATACCTTATTTTAAAGGTCTTTCAATTCCCTTTATAATGATGTAAAATACATGAGCTTCAGTTCAGTAGTTTTGAAGATTTATTGATTTAAAGCTTGAAGTACACTTTAATAGGTACATCAGATTAGTTTGTACTACTTTCAGAAGAAATTTGACTAAAAGAATTTACTTAATAAGTAAATGCTTTTCTTCACTACGCCCATGGTTTGTTTATCATTTTGTTGTTGAAAATTGCTATTGGAGCGTTTTTTTTGTGGCAAAAAGGTTATTTCTTGAAGAAAGGTAAGGAAATATCTCTTACTTATTTTAAATATTAATTTACTACTTCGTTTGCGATTGATTTGACCAAACTTTGTTGCTAAAATAACTTGTAATGCTTGATTACATAAACTAACCATGGTATATTCCACAGCAGAAAAAGTTGAAATTATCGAAATATTTTTCGGAAATAATCAGTGCGCTAATAGAACAGCAGAAATATTTAATGGGCGACATGAGAACAGTAACGTGCATCGAAAATATGTTCCAGAACTTGTAGCTAAATTTCGGGAAACTGGGTCAGTCGCCAATAAAAAACGCAACATTGAAAATCCCATAAGGAAAGAAAGCAATAAAAGTGGGGGTTTTAGGGCAAGTTTATGTAGATCCGACGTTAAGAACCCGCAAATTGGAGACTGTGTGTGGTGTTAGTCGACGAACTGTCCAACGGATTCTAAAGGCCCATAGTTTTCATCCGTATAAAATTCACCTGGTACAAGAACTTAATGAAGACGATTTTGATCGGCGATTACAATTTTGTGAAGATATGAGTAAACGAATTATACACGCTGAACATTTTCTATTCAACACTTGCTGTTCCGACGAATGTTCCTTTTTCTTAAATTGCGTAGTACTTCGTCATAACTGCCGATATTGGTCCGATTCTAATCCCAGAATTTATCATGAGGTTCATACACAGCAGCCACAAAAATTAAATGTTTGGGCTGGTATTTTTGGCGATAATTTAGTTGGTCCTTTTTTCTTACCTGGAAATTTGACCGGTGAAATGTATTTGGAATTACTGGAAGACGCCATAGATCCTGCATTAACAGCCATAATTGAAAATCAGAATGATCGGCAGTACATTGCGAATCGGTTGATGTTCCAACAGGATGGTGCCCCACCACATTACGCATTACGTGTTCGACAATATTTAGATCAGACGTTTCCAGATCGATGGACTGATAGAAGAGGTGCCATTTTATGGCCCCCAAGATCGCCAGATTTATCACCTTTGGATTTCTTTATGTGGGGTCATTTAAAAAGCAAAATCTATGCTACTCAGCCAACGTCATTAGAAGACCTGCGACAAAAAATTGTGAATGAGTGCCTTCAAATTACTACTCAAATATTGCAAAATGTGCGGCAACGTTTTGAACAAAATCTTTATTATTTCATGGAGAGTCATGGTGGCCATTTTCAATATTTAGTTGCCTAATGGGTCAGTTTATTCTTCATTTTTAAATTACTTTGCTGCCAAATGTATCTCCACTAATGATGATGTATTAGTTTTATTCAAGCTTCAAATCAATGAATCTTCAAAACTACTGAACTGATGTACATTAACTTTATATCATTATAAAGGTAATTGAAAGACCTTTAAAATAAGGTATCACTCGACCCCCTTTCCATTTAAGATTTTGGGGGTGGTGTCACCCCCGCTTAGGAGGCTGCACATGCTAACGTGATTTTTTGCCAAACTTGTGTCCCCTCGAAAACAAAATCGACGGGTCTGAGCGTTTTTAAAAAAAAAAACTGAGCTGCCAGTAAATGCATCTGTTTCGTTTTTGATGCGCCACCCTGTATATAGGCAAAATCAGCGGTGAGTTCGCGTATAAAACTATGCCGATAACCATCCTCTGGAAGAAATTAGTAAGTGTAGACATTTGTATGTCCCTCCGTATTGTGATTCAGACGTGATGTTGACAGACTGGACAGACATCCACATTCAATGTATTGCTGCATTAAAAAATGACCATCGCCATTTTTTTCTCTGAAGCCAATCTCCTAATAGATTAAGATTGGCTAAGAGATTTAGCAAAAAAAAAACAGTATCCCATAACTTCGCTAAACATAAAGACCTGTCGTATGAATGTGATTTTTTTCATATTATTACGCGTTGTTTATGCCTTTACATTTTCCTGACATTCTGTAATAGCATATATTTGATTTAATTCTTCACTTGATATTCGTATATTTTCCTCCGTTGATGATGATGCTACATGGAAAATTTTATTTTTTTATTAGTTACAGGTTCATTATTTCTTGGAAAGGCAGTTTCACAGTTAAAAGGTAAAAATACTGTGACGTGATTCACTTTATCAAATTGCATCGTCAATATGTAAAGTTGTTTACAATGACTGTGCAGATACAAACCATGTATAAAACCTCGATCAAAAGTGGACTTGAACATCAATTCTTAAACTGATACAGGTTTATCCACCCTATCTATAATATACTAAGTGACATATAAATCCGAACACCCAGTTTAAATGGTTTTATTTTAATAAAATTTTGTATAAGTACTTAATGAAGCATAATAAGTAAATGATAAAAATTTCAAAATGATTGCACTGCTTTAAAGCCCTTTGACCTTTAATAATGTGTGGATGCACCCTGATGTGCTACGCATTCTCCAACGCGCCTAGGCATGCTTCTGATCAGGTGGTCAATGTCCTCCTGTGGTATCTCATTCCAGGCAACCACCAACTCCTCTCGAAGTGCTTCTAGAGTCTGAGGAGGACGTTGCAAATTGAGCAATCTCCTACCTATCATATCCCACACGTGCTCAATTGGGGATAAGTCGGGAGATCTTGGTGGCCATGGTAACAATGTGACATCATTATGTTGAAAGAAGTCTATTGTGACTCTTGCAACATGTGGTCGGGCATTATCTTGTTGGAAAGTTGGATCTGCCAGGGTGTCAAGATAGGGTAAAAGATGGGGTTCTAGAACTTCGTGGATATAACGCTGCGCGTTCATGTTACCTCTGATGAAGATTAAAGGTGACCTGGAACCATAAGCTATAGCATCCCAAACCATAACTCCAACAGTGATGAACATGTCTTTCAACAAAAAACTGGATTCCTCCTTTCACCACGTCGCCTTCTAACCCTGGCACGACCATCTTGCATGCCTGAACAAAATCGAGACTCGTCACTAAAGACAATACTGTTCCATTCCTGATCCCAGAGTGACCGTTGTCTGCACCACTCAAGGCGATTACGTCGGTGTTCTCGAGTTAAAGGGAGGACCCAGTGTGGCCGGTATGAAAACAAGCCAAAACTTCTCATTCGTCGGTAAACACTTCGCATGCCAATAGGTCTTCCGTGTTCTGCAAATCATTAATTTGCAATGGACCTGGTAGTGGAGAAACGGTCCCTTAAGGCCAATAATCTTAGGCGGCGATCTTCACGGTCTGTTGTTCTACGGCGGCGTCCAGTGCCCCTTGCTCTTTGCGTACGGCCTTCTCGAAGCCATGCCTGACAACACCTAACCACAGTGTCTACACTTCTTTGCACTCTAACTGCAATTGCCCGAAAAGAAAGTCCAGCTTCCCGAAGTCCCACTATACGGCCCCTATCAAACTCACTAAGTTGACGAAGTCGTACAGGTCTCCGTACTCTAGGCATCGTAAAAATCCGCCAACGTTGATTCTTTACTGCGGCTGAAATATTCATTTTTAGAGCGTTAGTGAATTAAAAAAAAGCAGTATAAAAACCGGAATGTCCAACTGATAAGGCTGAAAATGTTTTCACTTGTTATTTACAGTAAGATAAATACATTCACCAACTTTTATTAAAATAAAACCATTTAAACTGGGTGTTCGGATTTATATGTCACTTAGTATAGTATACTTCAATTTTAGTTTGAAATATGCGAAGAATTTATATTTGAATGATATGAGAGTGTGTGACTTCGCAGTCCACCATAATTTCTATCCCTAAATCCCGAACCAGTTAAGCAAAGATGTCTGAATGATATATCAAAAACAATATCTACCTACGTCGACATGGTGGGAAAAAGAAGGTTATGCAGGAAAGAAATTCACTTTAAGTTAAATAATATTGAAGAAATTAGAATGTCAGATTGGTTAAGAGTAGTTATTGATGCAAGAGACTCTTCATTAGTTTATATACAGCAACTTGGGTAGCCATTATAAACGGTTTGACAACCTGACAATGCAATTCAATAAAATAAAATGTACCATGTCATTTGTAGCTTTTATCAACAAGATCTGTGCTTCAGTTACATTTGGACAACTCAATATTTCGTGAAAATCATTTTAAAAATTCTCGTTTCAATTCAGTAGCTGGTATTCCTCTCAGCGTTCTGTTTTATCATTGGTTCTATTGACCCACCACAGAGGTTAAAACATAAGGTACCACGGCCGCTCTCGCGTTCTAAAACTCTCACTTTTCCGGCTTTCCCGATCGCACTTTTCCGAGTTTTCCTCGCGGATCCGCGTCGATTTTCCGACACTCGCGGCAACGGAGTAGGCGGTCGTTCGACTTGCGTTTGTCGTTTGTTTCTACAGTTTGTTTCGCCGCTTACTTCGATTCGATCGTGGATCGTGGCTCAGGTAAACATGGTCAAGGTGCATGATCCACTACAACTTATCGCTGCTGTTCTTTCTGAAGGTTATGGACGATACTATGTGGATACGTTCTGTTTTTTCTCGTAGTTCAGTTTGCTTACGTAAAAACGGTGACTAGTCCTTCTTTTCATTTTTTAATTCCAGTCAGAACGAAAATTATCTCAAGTAGGTTGACTCTCGTCGGGAAATGTACAAACATTTTTCACCGTGGAGGGAAAGAGGTCATTAATGAGTAGCAGAAATCGGATAGGAACCAAAGCCGATCCCTGGGGAACACCCGAGTTGATATTATGGGTCTATTAAGAGGAGAATTTGTCAGCTACGACGGATCCTTACGAATTTAGGGGAAGCTTCTCTGGGAAATCATAAGATGTACGTCAACATACGAGCCCCTTCCCACTTCAGTTGGCCCACTTCAAGATTTGCACCAAAATATGCCTTTATAAAATAAACATGACGAAACTATCTACTTCTAAAACAATTTATTTTCTCAAAAACATTTTAGATAGACTCTAGTCGTAAAAAATACAAATTTGAAATCACTTAGACCTATAACTAATAGAACATCTGAACAAATAAACAATATGCGAATAAATGCGAAGTTAACAAAGCAACAATTGAAAGATTACCATTGGGTAAAATCACCTTTATTTTTTATTACGGCTGAAATTATTTGGGGCATTGTGTTTTGGCAAAAATTTGGTGTAAAACAATCCCATATTTCTTGAAGCTTTTGTCTCAATTCGGTGATTGTACGAGCAGGATGTTGTCGTAGAACCTTTTTCATCTCGTGCCACAAAGTTTCAATAGGTGACAGATCTGGACTGCTAGAAACCCAGACCATAATGGATGCTGGAAAGTTCACTTTTCTCTTCAGACAGTCAACATGGAATGCTTCATTTTTTTTGCGAATAACTCTACTGCGACTGTCACCAACACAAACTTCGAATCGGGCCTCATCACTCCATTGTATTGCACACCATTGTTGAGGTGTCCATTGTCTATGTTCTTTAGCCCATCTAAGCCAAGTTTTCTTTTGCAGTGGAGTTAATAGTGGCTTTTATTTGCCCTATAAATAAGTTGTGCAACTTTAGGGTTTTTACTTCACTTTTTTTTATAAGAAAACTTACCTTGAAAAGTGCTAAATCCCAGTTTGTGGGCCTCTTTATGTAGTTGTGGACCTCGAAATTCTCCTTCCAATAGCGTCACTTCACAGAGCACTTAATTGTAAATAATTGGCACGCCTGTTTTTCACGATTATTCTTCTTAATGCTCTTCGGTCGGCATTTGTGATATTACTTTTTTCACATATCGTGGCTTAATATTAACTGAACCAGTTACGTTATATCTTCTAACAATATTTCTCACACTGTACCGCGATAAGTCTAACAAAGTTGCAATTTCTGAGTTTGATTTCCCAGAATTAAAAAATTTAATTATCAGTAACCGAATTTTCTCACTAATAACCTTTCCTCTACCCATTTTGAAAACCTCAACTACCCAAAACTACGAGTATTTTAAACGTATTCAGACAGCTGTGATTAATAAAAACAATTGTCATGGCTTTTATTTTTCACAGCCACCTATGCGTTATAGACTTATTTTGCATTGAAATGAAAATAGGTTGATATGCTGTAATTGCAACATGTGTTATTTTTATGGTGCAAATTTGATTAGGGAGTGATAAAGTTGGTGTTTTCTACTATATATTATCAAAATATTCATTGTTAATATTTTAAACCTATAACACCCTGCTACATTTTTATTATTTGTGTTTGGTAAGAAAAAAACAAAGATTTCAATAGTTGGGCCAACTGAAGTGGGAAGGGGCTCGTAGAAGGGCAGCATATCATAGCTGATCGAAAGCTGTTGGAATACATATAGCAATGACGCGGCCTTCATTAATTATGAATGAAGAGACGCACGCGTAGCCCATTGCCTGTTGTTGACAATCAAATAACAATGTTTTAAAATAAACTAAGTCTAAAATAGTATTCGAGGATGGTTTGAGATTTAATCTTAGACACCTGGCAACCTCGAAAATTATGTTGTTTTAAGAGTTTTTAATCATTGGGGATGGTATTTTAAGGTTTCTGAATCCATTAAATAGCTCGTAACTCGGAACCGGTCAACTTTAAAAAAAGTTAATAAAGACCTTTTTGTTTAGATGGATAAAAAGAAAATAAAAAACATGGATGTATTTTGTTTAAAATAATTGTTTGAACAAAGCATCGTCTAAAAACGCTATGACGACACAAAGGTATATTCAGGAAACACTAGAACCCAATGAACGCCTGAGAACCAGATTTTCCTATAAGATAATAGCGGCTTACATTATGGTAGAGCAACAAATAATTCTTAAATAAGCCTTCTCTCTTGACCTCCTGGATCTCGAGATCTTTCGCTCATTTCTGTGATACAATGCGAGAAGAGTGACCTGTTTACCTGATCTTATACAAGCTCTATCAGCTCTTCTGAACCAAATACAGCTAGCTAATACCTTGAGAAGACATAAATCTAATCTGAAGCATGTCCCAACGATTGAATAGCTGTATACGGTATAGGACCAACACTTTACTAGAGAAATCTAACGATAGCAATGTTTTCACTACAAAATTTATTGACGACTTCCTTTTGCTTTTGCTTTTGCAGAATTCCATTCAAATTGAATCATTTTTACTGGGTGTTCTATTTTCTTTACCTCCAAGTATATGATTCCATATAAGGATTTTTATATACATAAACAACACTCTAATACAGGGTGTAAACGTTATGGTAGTCATTGTTGAAATGGGTAATAGGGGGAGGGGGGGGTCAAAACCAGTCAAAAAGTTCATATGACCCATGATCCAAAAGTCAATAGATTTTTGTCTAAATGGTTTTATACTTTACAACTTTAAGTGATTTATATCGACCACAATCTCCACAATCTTACTAATTTTTATAATCTAATCTAAAACGTTTTTAAATTGGTTATTAACAAATAAATGGCATTAAGTTTTTCTAAGTTAAGCGAAAATTTGTAGTCAGTAAATAAGTAAGTTTTATTAAATTAAATATTTAAAACACACATGACACCAGCGCGTCGATCTTTCATTACTCTTATCGAACTGGCAATCGATCGCAAACGTAACAGTGGTTAGTTATTGTTTGGCATAGATAAATTACTTTATCGTTTTGTCGACCAGAGCATCGGGCGTGTTGTTTTGTTTTTGTTCGCGTACGTCGTCGTGTTTATTTACAATGTTCTCGAATCAAGAGTTCGCCGATATGTTGTTAGTTTGCGGTGAAGCTCGTCAGAATTCAAATCTTGCAGCTCAAATTTATCGCCACAGATTTCGCCAACGAGTACACCCAGACAGAAGGACATTTGTGCAAGTGTACCAAAGACTTCGAGATACAGGTTACTGTAAAGTAGGAGGAACAAATTTTAAATGTCGTGGAAATCAATGCAGATATCAGCACTCGGGAATTAGTCCATAGAATCCTACGGGAAAATTTTCTTTATCCCTACCATGTACAACGAGTGCAGGCCTTGTTACCAGAAGACTATCCTTGCAGACTAACGTTCTGTCAGTGGTTTTTGCATAAAAACAATGAAAATCCGGATTTTTTAGAAACATTCTAGCGACGGACTAGACTTTTACGCGAGACGGGATATTAAATTTCCATAATACTCACACGTGGGCGCAAGAAAATTCTCATACCATTCGTGAAGGTCATTTCCAACAACGTTTTAAAATGAATATTTGGGCGGGTATTCTTGACGATCAGGTGATTGGCCCTTTCGAGTTACCCCCAAAGTTGTCAGGAGAAGGATACCTTAGCTTTCTAGCCAATAACCTACCAGATCTTTTGGAACCGACCTTAGACAACATGCCATTACAACGGAGACAGAATATGGGGTTTCTTCATGACGGGGCACCACCCAATGAACTGTCAACACTGATGGAACAGGCGTAACGCGAATTCATTGCGGCCAGAATGAGAAACGAGATGGATAGTGCTAGTCAGGGCAAAACATTGGCAAAACATCGTGGTCCATTGTGGTATTTCCATATATGTTCTAAGGATTTTTGGTGAATGTTTGTTTTTAGTGACGTTAAAGATTAATAGTGATAGTTTGCGACAATTATTATAAACATTTATATGCCGAACAGCCTTCAAGAGCTGTTGTTTTATGAGATATTTATTTAAAAATGGTTGAATCTTGCAGTGCGGTGAATTGTTGCAATAGACGCAGAAAAGATGTGAAAATGAAGTTTCACAGGTTGGTTTTAATCATCTCATTCATTTTTGTGTGAGAATTACCTGTTAATTGGTAATTCGAGAAAATATCTGGATTTTTAAGATACCTACAGATCCTAACATGAGGAAGTTGTGGTTACATGCTATAAGAAGAGAAAACTTTACTCCCAGTACAACAACGGTAATTTGTGAAAAGCATTTCACTCCAGAAGATTACGAAGTTAGTGTTCATGGAAATAAGGTACTAAAAAAGGTGGCAGTTCCATCTGTGTTTGATTTTCCAGCCCATCTCAAGAAAGAACCTACCCATCGAAGGGTTTTGAAAAGAAAACATGAATACAAAATTTCTAGAATGAACTATGGTATTATAATGAAAAACTGTGCATCTACAGTATTGTTAATGCCATTGTGCACAAATATTTTGTATACATATATATATATATAGGTGAAAAATTAAAGCTTCCGCCTTTTGTTGGGTACTTCGACAAAATTTAAGCAAAGAGGACTCTTTATACTTTTTTTAATTCCCTCTAGCTTTCAATGGACTTTGCCATCATCATCAGGAGCTGCAATTACAATGATAACAGTAGCAACAAAAGTGTAAAATGAATTTAAATTGAATCAACTTACAGTAGTATGTGAGGATGTTGCTAATTGTTGTTTTCGTATAGGATGAGGGAAACGTCCAGTAACATGGTGAGAGCTGGATACATGGTACAATGGTTAAAATTATATAAAATATGACAAGACAAGTTAAAGACAGATTAAAAATTATTTAGAAAACATTAGAGCATTACGTCGTGAAGCCACTTGATGATTGCACAAAATGGTGGTCATGGAATAATGAGTGAGATGAACTTTTGACAGAAGGTCGAAGGTTGTCAATGTCTGTGTTGAAAGATGGAACGAATTGTGGGCGTGTGCCAATACGTTGCCAAATCACTTCAGATGATGTGATTTTCAGAATGTTATGTAAGAAATTGTTAAACCGACCAGAGGCAGTTGAATAAACTATATTTTAATTAATGGGAATTTTAAATTAACAATTATTAATAAATCACCATGTTACTGGACGTTTCCCTCATCCTATACGAAAACAACAATTAGCAACATCCTCACATACTACTGTAAGTTGATTCAATTTAAATTCATTTTACACTTTTGTTGCTACTGTTATCATTGTAATTGCAGCTCCTGATGATGATGGCAAAGTCCATTGAAAGCTAGAGAGAATTAAAAAAAGTATAAAGAGTCCTCTTTGCTTAAATTTTGTCGAAGTACCCAACAAAAGGCGGAAGCTTTAATTTTTCACCTAACTGGTCTAGACGACAATGACCACGTCTCAATATATATATATATACATATATATAAAAATAAGGGTTTTTTCTTTGTACACTTTAATCTCTACAAAACTGGACATGTTCCCACTGCATTTAGTGTTGACAGCTACAGTACTATAAAAATAAATTTAAATGTGCATAAATACTATTTGGAACATTATAAAGATATATAGAAAATAACATGTATTTATTGTGATTTCTTAGATCTCTTATTTTTTATATGTAAGATATAGCATCTTAGAGCAGTTAAGTTAATTATAATCAGACATGTAATATCTTTGCTACCTGAACTACTTATGTTAAATACTAATTTTTATATCTTCAAATGTGTAAAGGAGAATTTATTGTCAAGTTTCATACATATGTATATATAAATAAACTTGGTTTTTTAATTATAATTACGTTTCCAGGATTTTATCTCGTTCCAGTTGCCTGAATAACTTTTAAATCTTCTCTAAGAATCCTCTGTTTCCTATGCAATTCATTCAAGTCCGCGCGCTTTTTGCCCTGACTAGCTCCATCTCTCTCTCGGACCTTTTTGTCGTATGTTGGCCGCATTATCGTTTCATTGTACAAATGGGACGGGGCGATTCCATCAGTGTTGACAGTTCATTGGCACCACCACACATTTTTAGAAGCGTCATTCAGTATTTGAATGAACTTTATCCAAATCGCTGGATCGGTCGAAATGCTCCTGATCCTCGAAAATGGCCAGCAAGATCTCCTGACCTCAATCCGATGGATTTCTGGTATTGGGGAGAACTTAAAGGGATGGTTTATGGGGCTGGTCCAATAACAACTGAAGCACAACTTCGCGAAAAAATTTTAACGCGGCTGAAATAATAAATGGACAACTTCGAGGACCTAGAGTAAGAAGAAACTGGGTTCGTCGTAATGAAGCTTGTGTGGAAAGTGGAGGACGACATTTTGAACATCTTCTTTAAATACAAAAAAAGTGCAGTGTGTGTTTTAAAAAGAAAAACAATGTATGTATCAAAATTGTGTTGCCTATTTATAAGTGGATTTTAATAATACGTTCAATAAACTTTCACGCACCAGGTGAAGCGCTGAGACAGTTAGTGGTAAGTCCATTTTTTAATTGTTTGCATTTTACGAGTACATTATCAAATAATGAAATAACACCTAAAAGCCAAACATAAACTCCATCTTTATTTACACTGCGTTCCGTCGTAATTTGCATCTGGCATTGCGGCGTTGACAGATTTTATTTTACTTTAAAGTCGCTTTTCTCTAAAAAAATGCCGTTTTGATCCCCATGTTATATGAAACTTTTTGCTTATTTTAACCCCCCTCTATCACCCATTTAAATAATGACTATCATAACGTTTACACCCTGTATATTGACAGCAACATCCAAAAGGTCGTGACAAGCGGTGCTGTCCATTGACAATATTCACTGACACTTTAATGTTAATTTATCGTAGATCGTATATAAAAAATGAAAGTTATTTACTTGGTCGTGGAATCTTCCATTTTTCACCACGTTTAATTACCGATCTTGTGAGTGCAACTAGTTAACAATGAACACTGACCACTTATGAAGCATACTAATTACGAGGTGAAACGGAAGCTTTGCTGCACCATGACCAAAACAAAATAATCTTACTCAAAGGTTATTTTTATTATGGCGATTAATTTTCCACTTGCTTACCTCATTCATGCAATGGTACTACACAAATAGGTGTAAAGGTTAGGAAGTTTCAGAATTGGATATCCTTACCTTGATAAGAAAAGAAAAACGGTGTGGCCATATTGACATGGGGCAAATACTTGATGTTATTAGGAATATAGAAAATTCTTCCTGCAGACTTTGACAATGTTTTTTCTTGCGTAACCCATGATCAACTGTCTTGTTTTAAAATTACTTTACCTGTATGAATACAATAATGTGGGTCATTCCGTGACCAAAATACGTAATAAGTTTCAAGATTGAAGAACATACAACAAGTAACAATGCAAATAATCTGATAACATTTATGAGTGACTGTACGGTCGATCAACATTAAAATGTATAAATACATAACGGTTTTGTGATATCACACCTTATGAATGTAGATATCTATTCCTATTGATGAGTCAGATCACATTTAAAAGTGCCGTTAGCTTGGTGTTTGATGTTTAAATTGCTTGTAGCATCTCTTAACAAATTACTGTGATTGGGTTAGACAAAAAAAGAGTTTTAAGTCCATTATTTTTTGAATACCTTTATAACTCGGCATTCTATAGGCAATAAGCAGTATTCATGTAGGAGCAGTTACTACTGACCTCTCAAAAGCATTCGAGTCTGTCATAGTATACTAAGTGACATATAAATCCGAACACCCAGTTTAAATGGTTTTATTTTAATAAAAGTTGGTGAGTGTATTTATCTTACTGTAAATAACAAGTGAAAAAATTTTCAGCCTTATCAGTTGGACATTCCGGTTTTTGTACTGCTTTTTTTTAATTCACTAACGCTCTAAAAATGAATATTTCAGCCGCAGTAAAGAATCAACGTTGGCGGATTTTGGTTCTTGACATCCTTTCGATCGGTTACGATGCCTAGAGTACGGAGACCTGTACGATTTCGTCAACTTAGTGAGTTTGATAGGGGCCGTATAGTGGGACTTCGGGAAGCTGGACTTTCTTTTCGGGCAATTGCAGTTAGAGTGCAAAGAAGTGTAGACACTGTGGTTAGGTGTTGTCAGGCATGGTTTCGAGAAGACCGTACGCAAAGAGCAAGGGGCACTGGACGCCGCCGTAGAACAGACCGTGAAGATCGCCGCCTAAGATTATTGGCCTTAAGGGACTGTTTCTCCACTACCAGGTCCATTGCAAATGAATGGTTTGCAGAACACGGAAGACCTATTGGCATGCGAAGTGTTTACCGACGAATGAGAAGTTTTGGCTTGTTTTCATACCGGCCACACTGGGTCCTCCCTTTAACTCGAGAACACCGACGTAATCGCCTTGAGTGGTGCAGACAACGGTCACTCTGGGATCAGGAATGGAACAGTATTGTCTTTAGTGACGAGTCTCGTTTTTGTATAGGCATGCACGATGGTCGTGCCAGGGTTAGAAGGCGACGTGGTGAAAGGAGGAATCCACATTTTTTTGTTGAAAGACATGTTCATCATACTGTTGGAGTTATGGTTTGGGGTGCTATAGCTTATGGTTTCAGGTCACCTTTAATCTTCATCAGAGGTAACATGAACGCGCAGCGTTATATCCACGGAGTTCTAGAACCCCATCTTTTACCCTATCTTGACACCCTGGCAGATCCAACTTTCCAACAAGATAATGCCCGACCACATGTTGCAAGAGTCACAATAGACTTCTTTCAACATAGTGATGTCACATTGTTACCATGGCCACCAAGATCTCCCGACTTATCCCCAATTGAGCACGTGTGGAATATGATGGGTAGGAGATTGCTCAATTTGCAACGTCCTCCTCAGACTCTAGAAGCACTTCGAGAGGAGTTGGTGGTTGCCTGGAATGAGATACCACAGGAGGACATTGACCACCTGATCAGAAGCATGCCTAGGCGCGTTGGAGAATGCGTAGCACATCAAGGTGCATCCACACATTATTAAAGGTCAAAGGGCTTTAAAGCAGTGCAATCATTTTGAAATTTTTATCATTTACTTATTATGCTTCATTAAGTACTTATACAAAATTTTATTAAAATAAAACCATTTAAACTGGGTGTTCGGATTTATATGTCACTTAGTATATTTATGCTCTACTTATGTTACAACCGACAGACATTTCTAGCAATGTGATCAAAATTATAGTAAATTATTTGCTCATCCGACATATATACGGCAAAGACAATCATACCAAAACAAAAATATACCACAAATGCCGCGGAGTACCACAAGGATCTATCTTCGGGCCTTCTATGTATTTGTTGCTGATCTGACAGCAGAAAACATCGCAGGACAAGCAACACGCAGGTAATTTGTGCGTATTAAATGTTTCTAAATAGCAAAACACAGCCATCATGAGAACAAAGCGAACAATGGAAGAGATATTTCGGCCCCCTACAATTGTAGGGCGCGTTTATGGCCTCCTTGATTGTCATACCCCTTTCTCTCCTTCAAAAGTTTCTAGATTACACTTGTCCCGTGTCAGCGTCAGCTCTCTCCTATTGTGAAGATATGTTTTCTTTTTAAATTGTAGGAAATTTTAGGCTGATAAAACATGATATAACTCAAAAGCAAGCACAATTTGATGCAAATAGATGCTTGTGACATAACCTCAAAATAGAGTTCTGACACGGAGAAGTAGAAAACTATGACAATCAAGGAGGCCATAAAGGCGCCCTACAATTGTAGGGACGACTGACGATACGGGCCTTAAGTACTATGATTGGTGGGAGCTTACTTGTACACTAGTCAGATTAAGTTTGTTAGTCTTGGTCTCAATATTAATAAAACGATAAGCACATACCTCATTAAAGAAAGAATTACTAAGAGCATTAATCGTACGTTGTCTCCAACCATTGGGTTTAGCTGGAATGTTTCAACTTTTAATAATATACGAACTTATATAAGTAAAAATGGCATTTTCAAATTAGAGAGGTGCTTTAAGAAGATATATAGAAAAGCTGGGAAGTACCATTGAAGTCCTGAGCGCATTTCAGATGACATACTTTGTAAGATGCTACAGAATAACAGTGTGGCAATACGCTTGTACCAGGCCAACAGGGAATTTCTTGAAAACAACGAGGAAAATAAATCAGTGAAGTGAACATTCAATCATCTAGCCAAACCATCGACGTCAAATTTCGCGTCCAAAATTCAAACGTTGTGTGCATTATACATTATACCCCATAATAATTGGTCGTGGAAAGGTATAGGTATATCATTCTCTTCGTTTTTATATTTTAAACGTATAGAGAAATTATATTTTGTTTTTTTATGTTTATATGCAAGCCAAATGTAAATTAATTTATATAAAATAAAGGTTTCAAATTGAATTGATTGATCAAAAGAGCCATCACCAGGCCCTAAGTTGAAAAATAATTCTGTGCAAGGTACGTGGCAAAAAATGAAGTGACACAACCTTATCTTTACAACCCTGATTCTACTGTGTAGGTGTGTAGAGTGAGTGCAAAATAAAGCTTTTAAAAATGCTTTAAGACGGTAATGTCGGTTTTGTGGACTATTTTTTCTGTCAAATCGCTGATTCGTATAGTGCATCTGTGCAAATGGCTGTGATATATTCAAAGCACAGATTTGAATGTTTTTTAGTAACTTACTAGCTACAGGAATTTGCAATGCTGTTCCTAAATCTGTAAGAGCGTTGCTGAGATCTTGATGATACCTGTTGAATAAATCCTCATCTGAAAACGCCAAATATGGATGGGGTTAATGGTATTAGTAGTGAATGTGAACGATAACAATAATAAACAAAATTTGAGTTACTAAAAGCCAAAATAATGTTTTACTCCAAAAAGTTAAGCGAGGTAATACTGTGATCGTATGTATTTTCGATTTTGAGACAATAGTTGTTTGCAAAATTGTAGTTTATTTCAGTATGTTAACTTACATTTTTCATCGTTGTACAATTTGTTAACACTGGCATCATCCACATTTTCGCCAAGCAAAACGTTGACTAATCTTTCGATAAAATCACGAACTTCCGCTCTATCTCTTCTCCTTTTATCCTCATCTTCCTCAGCATCCATTCCTGGAAAGAATTTGAAAACATTCGAACTGGATTTATTGGAATAGCGAGAGTACATAATTAACGAACAATAACGCCTCAATGGGTAACCCTCAAGTGAAGATTAAGCTGTTATCACAGAATTCAGAATTTGCCAAGTTCACAAAAGTTTTCCAAGTTTTCAAAATTTTTAGGTTCTCTAAAATGTTAGAAAACTCATTTTGTAAGATTTCCAATTAAATGTTGCACTATTTGAAATTTTTCAAACATGCATAGCTTTCAAGATTTTTTAAATTTCCAAAATTTTCATAATTTGCAATATTTTCGAAAATTTCAGTTTCCTAGATTTTCAAATTCAAAATCAGAATATTATAATTCTTCAGTTTTCAAACTTCTCGAAAAATCGATATTTTTGAAATTTGAAGAACTTAACTCTTATTATACAGGATGTTCCTTAATGATATGCGAATATTTAAAGGTGTGAATCTACATGGAAAATTAATGTTAGTTTGCTTTATAAACTATGGTCCTAAAATGTTTCCTTACAAAAACTCGGGGTGTTGAAGTTTTAGGAAAAAAATGGAAATTAATTAATATTGTCAGAACCGCTTCAGATATTTCACTGATATTTAGTAAGTAGTGAAAGTTAATAAAGTTGCATATTTTTCAATGCAAAAATAATTTTTAGCTTCAACAGTGGCGTGCGTACGGGTATTGACTTCGATATTTTTTACGAAAAAAATGATACTCCAATGGTTTCTTGCCAAATAAAAATAATTTTTGAATTTCCCGTTCAATTTAACAATAATGATCTCTCTTGAATTGTTTTCCTACTATGCGCCATTTTTGAGTAAAAAAATAAAAACCGTTCTATTGTCTGAGAAAATTAATGTAATAATTGAAGAATGCAATTTAGCAATAAATATCTAGTTGCTCTGGAATATGTCACTGGCTTTTGACATGTGACAAGTCTCTGTTAAGCAAATCTGTTCGCTGTGACATCTTTTTCATTATTTAGTTTTTACAATCTTGTTAATAATGGTGAATTATTCAAATGGTGAGCAAGCCAGACGGATTTATCACCAGAGATATCCCGATCGTGCTTTGCCAGATAGTCGAACCTTTTCTAATATTCATCGTCGTCTTGTTGAAACTGGTTCTGCCCGAAAAGGAATATCTGAAGGTAGACCTCTAAGTGTGAGAACGTCTGAAATTGAGGAAGCAGTGCTGCACGAAGTCTAAGAACATCCTGAAACGAGTACGAGGAAGATCGCTAGACACTTAAATGTTTTCCATCAAATTGTTTGGAGAATTTTAGTGGATTTTTTGTTATATTATTGATAATTTCAGTTTATTGTCAAAATTTAGATTTTATGTGCCACCAAGAATGTAGACGTAATAATGATTATTTTCATGTTATGCCACCTAAATCAGATCGGATAAATCATTTTTTTTCCAATAAAATTAATAATAATTTTGCATGTTAGACAATAGAACGGTTTTTATTTTTTTACTCAAGCTAGAGAAAACATTTCAAGAGAGATCATTAGTTTTAAATTTTACGGAAAATTCAAAAATAATTTTTATTTGACAAAAAACCATTGGCGTACCATTTTTTTCTTAAAAAATCAATACCCGTACGCACGCCACTGTTCAAGCTAAACATTTTTTTTGCACTGAAAAATATGCAACTTTGTTAACTTCCACTATGTACTAAAGATCAGTGAAATATCTGAAGCGGTACGGAAAATATTAATTAATTTCAATTTTTTTCCTAAAACTTCAACACCCCGAGTTTTTGTATGGAAACATTTTTGGACCATAGTTTATAGAGCAAACTAACATTAATTTTTCATGTAGATTCACACCCTTAAGTATTCGCATATCATGTTACTCATATTAATAAAAATTTTTGAAATACTAGGAATTTTTGAGAATTTGAAAATTTTGATAATTTTAGAAACAAAAACCTTGGAACTTTTGAAATTTTTTTTAAATTTTAAGCTTTAACAATTTTGATAATACAGGAAGTTTTACATTTTGAACATTTTTAATATTCTGGTGATTTCAAAATTTTTGAAAACTTGAAAAAAATTAAACTAAACCAAAAGAAAGCCAACCAAGGACAGCTTCTTGGCTACTCGTCAACATAGCTTAGCCGAACGTGGTCCAGGAACGAGAGACCAAGACTTGACCATGCTGATGAGTAGCCAAGAAGCACGAAACAGCTGTCCATGGTTGTCTGCCTTTTGGTCGGTCGGACGAAAGCATCATTTTTAGTTTTTTCGATAACAAGTAGTCCACATCCATCTAACTTACACCCAGTTTCGTCAGCCATCTAGCGGTCTAATAGTAAAAAATGTGTGAAACATTCAAAATTTCCAAGTTTTCATATTATTGTATATCTTAAAGATTCTGATAGCTTTGATTGCTTTCAAAAGTTTCACTTCCAAAAATTTTCAAATTCAAAATCATATTAAAATTCATCAGTATTAAAAATTTTCAAAAAAAACAATATTTTCAAAATCTGAAGAGCTTAAAAACGAATATTCCTTAAAAATCTGCAATTTTTGAAAATAAGAAAAGTTCGATAATAAATTGTAGAAACAAACGCTATGTAACTTTAAACTTTCAGAATTTTGATAATACGAGTACATAGAATTTTGAATTTTGAACATTATCAATATTCTGGGGAAGCTTTTGATAACTTGATACTTAACTTATTTTGTGAAACATTGCAAATTTTGAAGTCTTGAAAATATTATTATGAAGATTCTGATGTTAAATCTCCACTTAAGTATCCCTCACGGATGCGCTATTTTCCTTTTAAAGTCAAGTTGAAGATTTTACGATAAGCCGGACCTGAACCCCACTTACCCATTCCATCAGGTGCTGTCTGTGGCGCCACTAGTGTCTCCATGATGTCCCTGAGCCAACCTCCGGTCACCTTTTCGCCCAGTTCCGGTGGCCTTGCGCATTCACCGCACACCCAGCCTTCTCCAGCGCGGAACTGGGCGCAGCGCCCTTTGCACGCACGCCGCTGGCATCGCGAACATGTCGCCCACCTGCCTACGCCACTGGCGGAAAGTGCGCTGTCCACCGATGGGCGCCGCTGAAGCTCGCACCCGCACACTGGACAGAAGAGGGAGCTACGACGGTGTCTGTTTCTGAAAAAAAGACGTCAAATAGATGATGAGTCAAAAGGCAAAACCGAATCGTGTTTAAGTAGGTTTGCTTCAAATCTATTATATTTCTCTTTCCAGGGCAGATATAGAGAAAATATGTGTGACTTATTATGTCTAACAGGTGCATAGTGACACTGAGAACAACAGCTTATTAATAATAGAAGGTTTATCACTAATACCAAATGTGTAACATTGTCTGAAAATCTGTGAAACGTTGTAACAGTGTTAAAGGAAATCGTGTTTCAGACTCAACCTACAACCAGAGAAACGGATTCGTAATGCCATTCGTAACATACCGAGAGCCCAAATTGAAGCTGCAGTTTTCTCTACCCATGAGAGGCTTCAGGAATGCATAGAGCGTGATTGTCAGCATTTCGAGCATTTACGGGGGTGTAAAGAAATTCCAGAAACATTAATTTGAAAAAATAAAAATTTGAGGGATTTCCGCATAAAATTTTCTTAGGTCTAAATTTCAGGTTAAGAACAAGATATCGAGATGCGGTTTTTGCCAGCTTGTTTAGACATTACTTAGCTACTTTTTCATGAAAAAAATTATACCAATGCATCCAATTTTTTTGACAATATCAACCATTTCAGTGGGAATGTCAAATAAAGTCCTCTACTAGCTACCAGTGAAACTAACAGAACTTCACATATTAAAAAATTTGTAGCCCAAGAATAACCCTTTTCAACTAGCCCAAGTTTGTTAAAATCGGCTCTGCGTTTTCGAAGATACAGGGTGTTTTTAACGGAAACCTTAGAATACCCCCACCACTTTATTTTCAGAGATACAGCAAACATTGTTTACATTATCCCCGACTTTAAGAATCAGGCATTTTTTTGTTACGTTAATATTGCGGACTTCTCAAGAACATCACGTCAAGATTGCAGTTGCGCCACCTAGCGGCCATTTCAGAAACTTGTAATATTTTCCAGGTTCTTCCCTTGGCCGTTTTAGTAATAATTTTTTTGCCTCATGCCTCTTCGATGAATAGGTTCCCAGAAACAGTACCTCGCATTCTTAGTTGGCTACCCTATACAATTATGAATTCAACATATTTTTCCTATAAAAATTTCTGTTGAAAAAAATCGGATAAGGATTATTTCCTCTAAGCCCTATGCCCAAACTTGTTATTATCTGTAAAAACAAATGAGTTATGCAAGAACTACGGACATACGTTTTTTTTACATATGATTATATGGGAATTTGCATTATCTGGCAGAGAATCCTCCAGAACTTTTTTTATATATATATCGAAGCAGCCGCGCAGGCAGAAGCCTAAATGCCGGAACACCGCGGCTGCTATGATGATCCCAAAGAAATTTTGTTAATACGACCTTTGAACTGCCTAAGGTTAGTAGAACTGGGAATGCTTCCTCCCGTTGATTGTTCCACAATCTAGACACCCTCGGGACAAAGGAGCGGTCGTATCGGCCAGTTCTGGATGTAGATAAAGAACTCGGCCGTCCATCGAAACTAGATGAGCGCTAGGACGCTTTTTGTTCGTCAAAGTACAGTACCGTGTTTTGGAAGATTGTTGCGTCCCCGAGCAGTGATAGCCTCCAGGTCTCTTGTCAGAGAGGAAGTCGTCGATAGACTTCTTTTTTCCAGCTCAGCGGCAGAGATCGGCTTGTCACTCTGAATTCCTGCATCTAGAGTGCTGTCATCAGCGAAGACGTGGATTGGGTTGATCGTGCAGGAAAGGAGGTCATTGATATGTAAGAGAAACAGTGTTGGAACCAAGACCGATCCCTGGGGAACACCCGCGTTGACGTTGTGGGATGAAGAGGAGAACCCGTCAATTACGATGGATATCTTGCGGCCAGAGATAAAGTCAGCCACCCATCTGCAAAGCTTTTCTGGGAGGCCATAGGATGGAAGTTTGCTTAAGAGGTCAGCGTGCCACAGCTGATCGAATGCTTTCGTGATGTCAAGAGCAACGACATGGGCCTCACCATAAGACTGGATGAGTTTACTCCACAATTGCGTGTCGTAAGCTAGGAGGTCCCCTGTGGATCGTTGGTACCGGAAACCATACTGCCTGTCGCTAATCAAGCTGTGACGTTCGAGGTAGTCCAGAAGCTCACGATTTATGCACCTCTCCATCGCCTTACTTATAACAGAAAGCAGAGCTATAGGCCTGTAGTTGTAGGGTAGGTCTTAGATCCTTTTTTGGGATGGGTTGGACATGAGCAAATTTCCAGTTTTCTGAGAAGGTGCCGGATCATAAGATATCTGGAAGAGATGCGAAAGAACTGGAGCAAGTTCCGCTGCACACCTCTTCAGTACAAGGCAGGAATCAAGTCCGGACCAGAAGCTTTTTTGCTGTCAAGAGACAAGAGCACTCGTCTTATGGTCTTGTACCTGAATGTTACCTCCTGCATAGTGTAGGGAACCCTGTGAATTGACGGCACTTGGGCATTGGAAGGGGGGACGTCCAAGGTGGAGTTGGCATCAAAGATCTTGGCTAGCACTTCCGCCTTGACCTTTGAGTCGAATACAATAGTTCCATCCTGACACGTAGGTGGTGGAAGGCTACTGTGTGAGAAGTTCTTTTCAATCTGCTTGGCCAGCGTCCAGAAAGACCGACTGCCATTGCGCTGCGACATTACCCTGTGCCTAACTTTTATATCGTGGTGGTTTTTGGCATTGCGAACCGCTTCGTTAGATTTGTTTCTGGACTCGACGTCGGCTTTTCTGTTCTCTACAATAGGGTTTTGTAAGAAGGTACTGTGTGCGTTGATCTTCTGCTGGCGAGCAGTGTCACTCGATTTGTTAAACCAGCCGTTGGACCATGGTTAAGGCATTTTCACTGTGTGAGGGATGTATTCCTCCATTCCGACGTGGATAATTCTATTATCGAAGAACAGACAGCCGACGCATCCGCGTCAATGAAACAGACATCTCTCCAAGGAAACCTAGAGATGAAGTCTCTGAGCCCCCTCCCAGTCGGCATGCCGTAATGCCAAGTTTTGCGGCCTGTATGAGGTTTTTGCTGCACAGCGGGTCTGACCGAAACCTAACCTCCAACACAACACCGTGGTCTGAGTTAGCCAGGGAGGACAGGACCAGAAGTCTGTGAGGGCAGGATGCGTGGTCAAAAAGGGAGCCATTAGGCTACTGGGTGTGACGACACGCGGAGGAAAAAGTAGGGCTCGTCACCATCTGGGACAGCCCTTGAGTAAGAAGCGAAACGCTTCGACTGCAAGACCTGCTGCATCGGTCTTGTTTGCTTATGGTCTGAGGGAGAGCGGTAAAGGCAGCAAATAAATTTAGGTGATGGTTTGGAGTTGAGGCGAAGCCACAGAATGTCCTTCCGGTCTAATTCCAAAGAAACATCTCTGGAGCAGGACTGCTGCGGACAAAAGCCACAACTCCCCGTTCTTTCTCAGATTGGAGTGCACCTCGTAGTTTGGGAAGTTGATATGGTTAATCGGTGCAGACTCTGAGATTTTTGTCTCCGCCAAGAAAAGCACGGCGGGACGATTGGATTGCAGGTAGTGATGAACAGCATCAATGTTGCTGTTGATCCCGGAGATGTTCGAAAAACAAATTTTATCTTCGATGTTGTTCCCTCGAGCCCACCCTCCACCCGGACATTCCGAGAGTGGGGTGAGTTTACGACCGGGTTCTTAGTGCTCGAGAGATCCATCATCACTAATTTCTTTGTTTTGGAAGATAATCAACTGCATAGCTTAGGTGTGGAAATATGCAGACATTTATAAGACACCCTGGGAAAAGCTAGCCGGTGGTACCGCCTCGGTCGACTGGTCCTTGTCTACCACCTTTTTTTACGTGTTAGTGATAGACCTAAAGTGGCCCGTTGTCGGACTTGTACCGCCACCCAGCAATCGGTACTGAGGTATTCCTTAACGCGTGTACAATCAGTTGAACGGAAGTAGTAGTATACTGGATACAACAACTTCCGGAACAAGCGCGTACGTGAATCTAAAATCAACGGAATATTACATGAATATGAGTAACTCAAAACTGTCTATAAATATACGGAAATAATTTAGCATTTTGTTTATTTGAATATTGAACATGAATATTTCAACGACCATGGTACGATGTAATAAAAGTACTTACTGAGC